AATTCAAAAGTCCCGGGTTCGATTCCCGGAGGGGGTGTGACAACAGCAACAATGTTTCCCTCATTAATTTGAGGTAATTTGTAGTGGATAAATAAAAAATCGAAAAAATGATTTCAAATTAATATTTAAGAATGATGTTTGTGTTTAATACTTTTTTGTCATTCGCTTAATGTAACTTGTACCACAGCTGTCTCTACTTACAAGCCATGCTGAAGGTTTACTTGACAACACTGTGGGAGTCCCAGGATTTCCCAGTTAATGAGAGTTACAACTAATACATTGGTTGTTGGTAGTTCTTTCGTTGTTCTATAATATTTAAATTTTAGCGGAAATATCGTGCAATAAATGCGGAATAAGGATGCTTATAGTGTGTTTTAGTGATTAATACCTTTGGATACAGTTTTTAATTGCAGAAGGTAATATTAACTATTAAGTGAAAGAAGTGAAAATGTTTTAGGTCAGATTGTGTGTTTTAGTTGTAAATTTTCTGGTTTATTTCTTAACAAAATGCCTCGTCGTTGTGTTCCCAGTTGCAATTCAAATTATAAATCATCTTTAAAATGTAAGTACAAGTATGTCTATATTTTTATTCCCAAAAAAATGATGAAATGCGAAAAAAATGCATAAGTACTATACCTCGCAAAGATTGGACTCCATGAAAATATTCTGGAGTTTACATACATCACTTTAACGAAAGTGACATTATAAAAACAGTAAAAAAAAATATCTACTGCCGGTAATGTTTTCAGTGTGCTTTTATCATATCCTAAATTACCAGAGAATAATGAAACAGGAATTTAAATTGTTGAAGAGTCTCCCTTAAACATAAGTCAGTTTATTGAAATTTTAAATTCCGATTTTTTAATGAATTGTGATTTAGATGACTCCTTAAAAATTTGCATTTCAGGATATGCAGTTCATTCTGCTCGTAAAAAGATAACTTGCAACAATTGTGTTTCGCTCATAATAAACAATAAAGGCTCTTGCGTTGGAGATATTTATTTTGATTATTTACAAAGGGGAGGACTTTCTGTTCCTACTGATAATATTAGTATAGTTTTTTTTCACTTTTATGCCATTCTTGAAGAAATAAGTAATAACGAATATCTGCAGACACAATATTTACGGGCTGAACTCCAAAAATCAATTTTAGGAAAATTAACTATTTTCAAAAATATTTAGTTTTGGAAAACACTATAAAGATATATTCTTCCAAATTTTATCTTCTTTTGCTAATGTTTTGCTTAATGATTACGTTAAAATTATAAATTATAGAAAGCAAGAGTCCCGCCACTCCAATTCAAATTCAGCTAACTGTAAGACAGCAAAAATCCGTAAATTAGAAATTGTAATTAGTTTTTTCTAATGGGATGGCAGGGCTATTGGTGAACCCCAAAAAAAGCTAACGCGCCTTGGCAATACTTCAATTGTGGTGTGGAAATTTGCTTTAATAAAATTACAATTATCGAGATGAAATTCATGTAGGTACCTAACAATGTTTACACCTAATCTTTTGTCTTTTCTATTTTGTTCTTAATACCTACATGTTGAAGTGTATTTTAAATAACGTCACATACTATCAGTGATGAACAAATGTTAGTTATTTAATAATTTAATTCATTTTTATCGTAATGGGTGTCTAAAAATCATGTGTAACGACGTGTAGTAATAACAACTAAGACTCGCAGAATAGGACTCTCACATCGAAGCAATGCACTGTTGCCAAATTTCTCAGCATGGCTTGTATTAGAGACGGCTGTGCTTGTACCTATTAAGTTTTAGGGAGAGTGTTCAAGTTAATTAACAAAGAAAACTTAATATGTACAATATGTCTATCGTATTTGTGTTAACTTTTAGATAACTTTATTGTGTTATCGTTTTCCGTTTGTGTGCCGGATGTTTTGTCTAATAAGCATGGCGCAAAACGGCAGCTTGTGGACAGCAGCGAATAAAATATTGTTTTAAAAAAGTTAGTTATAGATCTGCCTTCTGTACAACAGTACATGTTTTATTAAATATATTTTCCTTAATTATTCTTGGCTATTATCACCGTGTATCATTACTGGCGATATTTTATCTATCTAAATGATAAATTTATTATCGGTAGTGATGAGTATAAATAACCAAGCTCTGTTCTGTCCAATTACAAATAATTAATCCTTCATTACCTGTAATTGTGACTTTTACCTATATTCCTATTTCAGTTACTAATCCGCTTGTAAATATTTTATATTTTTTAAATTGTTTTTACATATTATTTACGTATTGTTTTTACCTATCAGTAATTTTGATTACTTAAAAAATACTTCTTGGTGATGGATTCGAAGGTAAGCTTTTTTTATTACGTAACTATACGATGTCCGAAAGAAGAGAGAGATTTTTCACTGAGCAAATTATGAAATATTTTTGATACACAGTAAAAGGAACAAAACCTTTTTAAATGTTTCGATAGTTTCATGAGAGGAATTCTATAGTTATATATCAAACTTACCCCAGGTGGAAAATTGTCTTGGTCAGACAAGTTTGAAACTTCAAACTAGCTTTATTTTAGTTTAGCATCTAAGATTCTACTTATTCCGGCGAAAACAATATTGGATAATAATCATAAAAGGAAATTAGCTTTAACACGTTTGAGGGTACAAAATTGTCGAATAATGAAAAAAATTAAAAATTCAGTAACATCGACAAGAAAATAGTCACCCAGCAGAACATGGGAATGATTCTTATTCAAGTTCATCAAATGTAAATGTAGCTGGGAGTGATAATTTAAGAGTTAAATCGAAAGTAATGA